CTTAGTAAATACAGCCAAGGTGCTGGGACAGTGGGGTGAGAGTTTCTGTCGATAATACAGCAAGGATGAGCCACGGCAGGGAGTGGAAGGAAAGAAATGCGGTAGGTGAGATGCCTTCAAGTACTTGTGCTGTGGAAAGGGTTCTTGAAGAGCTGCCTTCACACCCAGCTGATCCAGAGGTAGCTTTCACTTGAGTTTTTGCTGAAACAGACCCCACTGAAGCTTCAGTTTTAACAATTAGTAGCAAAGGTGCAGGAGTACATGGCAGCTGTGGTGCTGTGTTTCGGAGGAGGGGTCAGCACTTACTGTGAAGTGGCTGATTTGGGCTGGAAATGGGGCTTGGGAAAATAGGCAGTGAGTTGTCATGCAGCAGTTGGGAACCTCAGGCAGCAAAATTGCCTTTTCTTCTTGTTGGGGGAGCCTACTTCTCCTTCAGTATCTGTAACTTCTGAGCTTGCATGGGCTGAGGAGGTGTAGCTGCCTCCTCCTGAATTTAATTGGGAAGGACAGGAAAAGAGTGAGATTCTTAGAGAGTGACCACTGAGTGTTTTGTGGGTTTTGTTTGTTTGGTTTTTAAAAACAAATATGAGAAGTGATACAGATTAGGTCAAAATGTGCTCCTGAAGTACAGAGCTGTAAATCAAGCCATTACAGGGTTCTAATTGCACATACCTTGAAACGTACTGGACTAAACATGTTGAAGTTGAAATTACTGACGTGGTAGAACTGTGAATGCAGCCCGCTGCAGTGAGAACAGTGCACCTTGAGAGGTCACTCGTCGCAACTCCGATGACTACAGTCTGAAGTGGGTACTTGTGACAGGCACCAGCTGGCGATGCAATACAGCATGTAACAGAAACACCAGATCCACAGTACTGTTTTAGTAAGATCTACCAACGAAGGGGAAGATGTTGAAGGAGGACTAGACAGGGATTTTTATGCTCATTTCATCCTTAAATTCCCATGCTGGTATTTAACCAAATTAATAAAAAAAAAAAGGTGGCTGCCACGTGGAAGATGGCACAGTGTTACTTGGGTCTAAGCCTCTCTATGGGTCATGCCCAGAGGAGGAAGCTGTGACCGTGGCCAGTTGGGCAGGCCTTGTGGAGAGCAGGTGTGCCAAAACATGGAACTTGACTGGCTCCAGAACAAGTGGAAGCACTGGAAATGTCATCTTGGTTTGATGCTTTGGGCTGTACTCAGTGAGGATACCACAAAATCTTAAAACGGTATTAATTCTGCAACTTGGCAGAGATACGCTGATCAAAACTGGGTTTTAGTTGTTATATCCAGCATTACCAAAATAGCGTTACCAGTGAGTTTAGACTAAAAGGGGTACAATTACAAAGCCAGCATTTCTAAGGAAGAAAAACCAAAACTCTAGTGCCTTTTTCTTTTGAGCTTGTGATGTTATGTCCCTTCAAAAAAGGTAAGGGCTATGTCCTCTCGGATGTAATGCTTTGTTTGGCTTACCTGTAAGTGGCTTGTTGTGGAATACTTGAGACAAAACTGTCTCTCCTTGGCAGCAGCAGAACTAACTGCAATGTGCTGAGCAGCTTTAAGAACCACTTCCACCCTACATGCATGTACAAACAGCACACAAGTTCATAAGGTATAAACCCTTGGTTATTTTCTCTGTCCTACTCCTGTGGAAAGGAAACTCAGCCTTTCTTTCCACTATTCTAGTTACGCAATTTGGTTTTTCCTGTACCTTGTTACTTAACTGCCATACCACACCATTACTGATAGTGTTCTGGAGCCTCAACTCTGCATGTAGCTGAGAGTTTAAAATAATCGGGTTTTTTTGGTTGTTTTCTCGAATCTGTGATTTTTATATTTCTACACTGTTTTGGCACATCTAAGTTTAACTGAAGCAATAGTCTAAAGCCCATCTGAACAATAACTTAAAAAAAAATAAAATCTAGGCACCAATGAGTCATTTAAATGTTGAAGTGAATTCTGCATTTACACTTTGTAGTTTCGTAATTCCTCAGTCCCTCCAAAATGTTTCTTTGGTGCTAGACGTAACTTATTGAACATCAAAATGAATGTAAAATAAAGTATTTTTAATGTATGAAATATGGCTATCAATATTTATTTTATACTTGCAAGCAAATTCAAGGTGGCGAATGTTTGCTTTAGCAAATATTGGTCCCTTGGAAAGGGCTTCCCCTAAAAGCAATGTCTCATTGTCAGCTCTGCTTTTAATTTTAAAGGTGACTTGCACTAGAGGATGCTGCTGTTCCATATTTTCACATGGAACTGATTTAGTCTCAGCATTTTTTTGTTATGAGCTGCTGTTTTTTTGTTTTTTAAGTTGGGATGCAGTTATGTTAATCCAGCAAGTTACTAGAGCTATGCTGCTTGTCTTCTGTGGTGAAGAGGCTGAGAAAAGTATGGCAAAGAGCTCTTTAACTTGTATCTTGTGTTGATCTGGAAGTGCTTCCTGTACTGTACAAATAACCTAGCCTTCATGTTGCTAATGAAAAGGTGTTTTATATGCTTAATGCTCTTGACTTTTCTAATTAAAAATATTACTTATGATAGTATCTGTCCTAAAAGCATTGATGTAAGCCTATGAAAAAGTGACACTCCATAATCTGTTCAAAATGCTGATCTTCTGCTACTGATAGAGGCAGCAATAAGTCTGTTTTAATGCTGTGTGTTTACTTCAATCAGTCCAGTGCCAGTGATGTTTTACAGTAATCTTTGCTCACTAGGTAACAAGGGAGCATTAATCTCCATTCTGTATGTACTACCCAGTGCAGTAGGGTGTGTTTTTGGACACATAGTATTCTGGACACAGACCCTCCTGCCCTATGTTCTGCTGCAGTCCCAGCGAGCATTAAGAGCACTAGTAGGTTTGCACAAGTCTTTGACCATAAACTGCCTTGTAAATCACAAACTAAGCACTCTGCCATTATTCTCTTGTGCTGCATCAAATTTCTTTGCCACTGTAATGGACTTCATTAACCTTTTGGTTTACTATCTCTTCTTGCAAAATGTTTTTGCATGTGCCCCAGTTGCTCTTAAGTGATGACAGATTAAATACTGTGAAGGAAGGTACCTGGTGAGCATGTCAGCTCATCAGCTTCTTCCTTAAAGGGAATGTTGCACTCATTTGAATAGTGTACTGGTACAGCTGTGCCGGACACACAAATGCCTGTGCTGAAATCATGTAAAACCTAACTGATGTTGTGCACACCCAGCATTTTACTAGGTTTTTGCATTGTATATTGGTAAATAAACTTGTACTAAAGTTTCTTTCCACTATTGATTTAATGGTAATGTAACTTGCATAATGCAGAAAATGGCTTAAGTCTTTGCAATAACAAATGGAGATGCATTTTAGCTAAATGATGATGGGGGGAGAAGTAGTCTTTATGAAATAGCTAAACTGGAGGTACTGGTGGTAGCTTTGGCTGCTCTTATGCTTAAAGATCTTTTAAGATCTTTAAGATCTATTTTACATCACTGTTCTTCGATTTCTTCAGTGATTTTTACTGTTGTATGGCAGACTGCATAGGCAGTTTGAGCTCTCAGTAAAGACTGAAGCTCTCTGTGCTGAAAGCCTCTCTGCAAGGGCAAGCCAAAGAAAAGGAACCACTGAGAAACTCAGTTATCAGCTTTACAGTTACTAGTCTGAGTCTCGTGCTGAACATTTAACAGTAACTTGTGTTTAAGAACACCCTGAGTGAAGACATGTAGTCCAAAACAAGACAGTTTGTGTGAAATGCTGGGAAGCTCATTAACAGAATCTTAATCAGCTAGGAAAGAAGCTGTCCCTTTGTTTTAATTGCCCTACTGGAAAAACTTCTATGCTAATGAAGCTGTTCTTTGATTTAGTTTAGATCCAGAGGGGTTGGGAGGGGACAGAACACCACATGACAGTTCTTAAAAGGTATCTAAATTGATCCTGGTCCCTTTATGGCTTGTCAGTGGAGCAAGGGTTCCACTCAAAGTGCAACAAAACCATTTCTTCAATCCTACTTCACACAGCTACTGTGGGCTCTAAGCTAGATGGAAGTTACTTCCAAATTCAACTACAGTATGTGGAATCCTCCCCCCCCTTTCTTTCACCCTCTAGTTTTATACTCAATCTTTGCATTTTGATCCCTGTACTTGATTAGTTTAAAAAAAAAATTAACACTGTTGTTGCCTTCTACACACACCAAAAATTCTTCTCCCTCCCCTGCCCAAAGGATTGATTTTTTTTTTTTTCTTAGAGTTGAGAAAGAATGAATGAATCCTTAAACATGACTAATCCCCAAACAGCAGTATGCACTTAGGTTGCTCCTAGTTAACTGTCTGATTCCCAGCACTGGGGAAAAGAAGTCTTAAAGAACCAGTAATCACTTCTCACCATGAGTAGGTCTAGCATTCAGTAAGCCAGGGGCAACTCTGCATCTGAATTAAAAAAAAAAAATTATACTTGACCTTAAGGTAAGAAGCTCCTTAATCCAAGACAAGCAGAAACAAGGGTGAAAAACTCAAACTCAGAAGTACTTACTGTTTATCAGGTCCTAATAACATGCCTAAGTTTGAAGTTTTTCCTGTGTGTTTAATGTACAGGCTTTGAGGATACAAGACGACGGATGCTTTGTCAGTTGTGTAATTTGCCAAGTTCCATCCACTCCTATCCAGGTGACCAGACAAATGTAGGACAAAGCATTCAGTTAATCACATACTGTATTTTAGCCTGATTCTGCAGGATTGGGAGCAACAGGTGGAGTTAAGACATAGCAAGAGCTGCATATGGGAAAAGTTCAGTTGCAACTTAAGATCCAAGTGCAAGAAATGAAGATGAAACTAAGTAAGTTCACATTTTTGTTTGAGCCACTCACTTACATGCAATTATTTATCTAACTCTAAAAGGCAGTATATACCGAACTCTCAGCTACTTGCTGCTTTGGGTATCCTGGCTTTCAGCAAGGTTGTAACTACAGTTTGCATAACAAACTGATTGTAAAGCCTGCAAGTTACAAGACTATCAAAATTGTTTAAACCAATTTATACAATATTAAATTAAAAATCCAGAGATAGGATAAATTCTATTGGTTCTTCAATGCCATACAAGTATTAGATGGTTTCCTTGAGTCAATGTTACTACAGAACAAAAAGGGCTGAACAATTACAAAAGATGTCTACTCTCCATTGCCTTTTATTTACAGGTCAGAAATCACAAAGGTTTCAATTACAGTTGTTGAGAGAATTTCTGAATAGGCAAAAAAGGGCATTTATGGCATCAGTGTGAAAAAGCTGATGGACACTTGCAGAAAACGGGTTCTTTGTACTACTTCACCCACTTCTGCAATGGTAGATTCTACAAAATAAAAGGAAGTGTTTGAACTGCTATTTGGGTTTTCAATCTACATATAGTGGTAAATGTGAGATTGCAAAATTCTGTTGCTTTCAATTTAACTTACCTTTGGTAGCAATAGTTGTAAAAAAAACGTTATCTATCTAATCGGAAGCATTAGAGGGCTTAATGACTCTTGTATTTCACACTTAAGAGAGCTTACAGAACAGTGATGCTGAAGGCCACTACACAGGAGAATTTCATCAGTTGCTTCCTTTTCACTGGGAGACCTTAACCAATTCATTTAAACCTCTCAGGGGGCAGAGGAATGAGGAAAGCATGGTGTAAGAGAAAAACCATCCAGCTGTTTAATAGTTGTATGGCATTTTAAATTCTCAGATTAAGCAGCTAAGCGTCTTTCACAACACCCACCAAGGCAGGCCGCAGCGTACGCCCATGCAGCTTATAGCCAATCTTGGATACTAATGCAATAGTGCCAGGCTCCTTCCCTTCCATGGGAGCATGGAACAACGCTTCGTGTTCATAGGGATCGAACTTGGCTCCAACAGGATTCAGTCTAAGCAGGCCATGTTTTTTAAACACTTTCTGAATCTGTACTTCTGTCATAACAAGACCTTCATATAAGCTCTTCAGGTGAGGATTTTCATCCTTAATTTCTTCCTTTGGAACACTTTCTGTTGCTTTCTCCAAAATGTCTGCCACTTCTAGTAAGTCCTTACAGAAGCTCTGAATCCCTAAAAAGAAATAAAACAGAAGGAACTGGGATTACTCCACTGAGGGAAACAAGTGTTTAAAAAAACAACCACCAAAACAACAAAAACCAAAACCTACAGCAATAATCTGTACTCTTTTAGATTTTTAACAAGATAATGTGATACTGTAAACCTCTGGGGTACAATGTCCTTCCCAATTTTACTTTATGATACAGAACTTGAAATCCATACCACCTCCTCTTGTTCTTTGGAAAAAATGTATTACAACTTAATACTTAAAAGAGCTAAAGCTATGCTGATGACCTGACATTAACAATTAAAATTCTAAGTGAAGTTACCAAAACCTTCAGATGGCTTAATGTAATCTCCTCATGTCTCTCTCTCATCCTGGGAATTCCTACCCTTTAATCTGATGTGCTAAAATACTTGCAGAAGAAAAAGCAGGTAGTCAGACCAATACAGAGTCTAAGAGATGAACAGGGATTCTTCATTGAAGGAAAAGAACTCACACCTCTCTCTCCCACTACAAACCACTTTTATAGAGTCAGAAGCTGCGCCTTGTAAAGACTGAGCAATTCCCAAGCTAACAACAGTCCATGTCCTGGAGGTGTTATCTGGCTCACGCTACAAGAATCTGGACTACTCTCACTTGAGGCAAACTATCTCTAGAAATCATGAAAAATTAAAACGATTCAGTAGAGGTAAGCCAATGATAAACTGCACTGCATTTTGGCAGCCGTGTTTTTGGGGTTTTTTTTTTAGCCACAGACAGTCTTTTTATTCTAGCTCACATTTTAGATGTCTTTTTTCTTTACCAAGAAGCAATATGAGCATTACCAGAAAACAAGTCTTTGGTTTAAACAAAAAGAACTATGGAAGCACCTTGCAGGATCTATAGGGATCATCTCAGGAAAGAGTCACAACTGCACAACTCCATAGAGACTTGAGCTCTTTACATAACAGTAACTAACAGTGTCCAAGTAGTTCCAAAAATCTGGAAAAATGAATCAAGGTTTTAAATTAAAACTAAAACTGTGGTTAGGGTGGAAGTGTCCCAAATATAGATTAACCAGTTGTCTGGTGATCTGGGTCAAACCAAATAACCAAACTCTTCAGAAGGTGGCTTCTTGTGGTTTGTGTGGTTTTTTTTTTTCAGAAGTTATCCCTGCAGTTATCTGTGACTTCATCTCTGTGAATTTATGCAAGTGTCAGAAATGAGTTTTTCTTCCTTCAACAGAAAAAGCAGTCATATATGAATGATAAAACTTACAATCATGTAGCTCACCTGTAATTTAGTTTTCATAAGAAGTTGTATTTGAATATTTATTTGAATATAATATTTATTTATCTCTGAGCTCAGGCATGACTCAAAGTCCTTCTACACCAAGTAGCATATTAGTGAAATAATACTTACGGAAAATCAACTTCAGGATGAAGCATTCAAACATCCATGAAAACAGTACAAAAATACTATGTAACAGAGAAATGCTTTTTCACATTAACTGCAGACCCTGTATTTGAAACTAAAATTTCTGTATTCAAAATTAAACTACACAGATGTATATAGTTTGTGTCAAAAAAGGCCAACTAATTTTTCAAGCCAGAGTGACAGTCAAACACTAAGATGATATAGCACTCTTCTGCTGCAGTATCTGCATACCATTTTTGTTTTACCAATTTGTGTTTGAACTGTCAAAAAGCTAAATCAGATGTCAGTAGTCTGGCTCTTGAAGAAAGATGTGTTTCTAGCACTCCTTGTAGACCGTGACTGTACATTCCTGCCACTGAAAACAGTCCATCCATGTAAATTTATTACTTCTATGGCCTTCCAACAGAACAGAAAGGTTATACAAATATAAAAGAAAAAAAAAAGCCACCCCAAAAAACTCAAACCCAAAACAAACAACAAGAACAAAAAAAAAAATCAAACCAGAAGGAAAGCTGGTATTCCATGCTCTTGGTTCAGTTTTCTGCAGTCAGTTTTGAGACCAAAGTGCGTGAAAAAGGCAAACTTCAGGTTGCAAGCCTTATTGAAAAATCCACTAGTGCAGTATGTATTGTAGAAAATCAGACACCAAATCTAAAGAAAATTTCAAGTTGTTGACTTTCAGCAGTTTAAGTCTTGCCCTTGTCTAACGAGATGGTAACAATTCTGATGGAAAGTGAGCAACCGGTCAAACCTCTCTGCCTCAAATACATTTTTCTAACCAAGTAGTCAGAATCACCGGAAGGTACAACTTGTCAAAACTGTGGGCCAGTCAGCTCAATTTTCCAGGCTTTGCACTTCATGCTAGTATTCTTGAGTCTTATGAGTATATGCAAAAAGAGCCTCCACTGACCATATAACTTTGCCTCCTCCACCAGTTTCTGGCTTCTTTGCCTCACGTTTTCTGCATCTGCCAAGGCACGCTTGTACTTGTCCTAAAGAAGAAAAACCAGTAACAGAAGAGATTTCATTCATGGTGGTTGGTTAGTTCACAATAATTCAAACCAGCACATTCAGTACAAAACAACATTTTAAACATAAAAGTTACATGGCCTAAATCCACCATCTAAAGAGTAATCGGAAAACAACATGCCAATTATCATGGCATCCTTCCTATCAAGGCAGATGTTTACTTCACTTCAGTGCAGACAGAAGTGAAGGAAAGGAAATAACATGGGTTTCCAGACTCTCGGTATTTGTCCACAGATTGGCTGGAAGAAATTTTTAACTCTACGGATATATCAAGTTTTACAAATCAAAGATTTCTGCTTTCTTTCGTGTATGTTCACAGAAAACCTCAGCAATTTTAAGGTATTTTGACACAACGGCAAACGAGATTCAACCCAGTCATGACTTTCAAACCATCTCTTCCCTCTCCATACATACCACAGAGTGTCCTCCAGTTTTTTCAAACTTTACAAACTATGAAGTCTAACTAACTCCTCTGTTGTTCAGACTGTATTTTGGTCTGTTCCTGGCAAGATGGCCATCTAGCAGCAGATGTACTAAGAATGGAATTCAATAAAATTAGTCACTTCAAGTGTTTTACCACCTAACCGAGAACTCCATGTTGGGCTTCCACTCTCAATACACTTGACCTCACATGCTAGTGAAGAAACAGAATAAAAATAGTGAACAAGTTGACTGAAGAGCCATGTTAGGTAGCCAATAGCAAATGTCGTCAACAGAGATGTTAAATGACATCTCAGTTTTGTCCTTCAGTGCTTTGGGAAGGGCAACAGAAATGAAACTCAATCCACTTATGATCCATAGGTGCTGCTTCTTTAGAAGGTTCTGGGCTACCTCTCAAAGCCTCAAACACTCTATACAGACATTTTATATAAAGCACTCATCCAGAAAAGCAACACCTTTGTTTAATCCACACCTCCCACTGGCTTCTTCACCCTCCGCTGAAGTCACACATGGAAGAGAATGCAAGATTCATTAGGCCAGACAGAGGGAACATGACGCTTCAGCCTTGTGTTTGAAGGGCTCTCCAACAGAGAAGGTTTGAAACTCCCACTTCCTAAGCATGTCGTAAGTACACTATTATATAAAAGCTAAGCATCATTAACCCTGACCTTTGGAAAAGTCAGCAGCTGTTTTCAGAAAGCCTGCTCTTAGTGCACACAAATACACAATCACATCAAAGACACACTCAAACCTTTCAGTGGGCTTCCAAAAATTTCTCAACTGAGCAAAACCTAAATTAACTGAAGTCAGTGAAACTAAGTAACAAATTTTCAGGCTGGAAGAGGTCCTATTCCATCCAGAAATTGGCATGAAACTATCCAAAAATCTTAATTTTGGACCAGAGATGCATCTCAGGTCTTGTAGTACATCTATTCTTAGGTTTAAAGAAATTATGGAATTGCAGGTTTTTATTCAACAACTAAACAGCAGCCACAAAACCATATCCAGATTGTGCACCAAGAACCCGTAATGAACACTCTTAGGCATGCGGTTTGTAAGGTATGTGTTTGGTAAGGTATGCAACCAAAAGATACTTACAGTAACTTCTTTTAGTTGTTCTTCCAGTTTGGCCTTTTCTTCAGTTAACATTTTTTCAGCAGAGCTGGGTTCAACCTTCTGCTCGTTTTGGCTCTGACTCTGGTCCTCTTCCAAGTTCTGGCCAGTATTTTTCTGTTGTGTTGCTACACAAAGCAATCGCGAAGAAGTCCTAAGGCAAAAACACGCGGACAATATTACTCAGTTGATTACTTTGTAAAATATTAGCTTTTTCTGAACATACTGGACACTTTATTTGACACATCAACATCTACAAAATTCTCACACTGAAGCACAAATTAATACAACAGTTCTAGGTCTGTGAAAACTGTTTGCAGAACCTTTCATCAGAAGTAACTGAACTTAGCCCATCTAAAATCTTGCAAAAAATAACTTTGCTGAAAAGATAACCACGGGGCAGCCACTTATAAATGTCTATTACATTCAGTTTATAAAGTCACAGCACTTTTAAGGGGAACATGAGCTTGTTTTCAGCACAGTACTCTATCAGGAAGCAAATCTAGTTTACGTGATGCAATAACTTGCAACAGTCTCCCAGCAGACATACCAACAAGCACAGTGGTTTATTGCAGATTGGTAGAGAGCAATGGAAGAGCGCTTTCTTTGTTGCTGCTGTATTGCAAACATCCCGTCAAGAACGGGCCAGTCTCCATGAAGATGGCTATTTATCCTTTCCTAATGTTTCTCAGGCTGAACTAGCTGAGCTACCTGAGCAAACCACTTCACAGACGAGGTGGGCGGATCAGTGCCGCAGTGACAAAAGGCCTCGGCTCCCTGCACGCCACATCAAGACTTCAGGCCTGGAGACATTCAGACTCAAGACCGGGCCTGGAGGGCCCAGCAATCCCTGGCCGGGTCACTCTCCCGGGGTAGGCTAAGGGGCAACATGGCAAAGGTCGGCGGGGAAGGGGGACCGGCAACAGCCCGTCCCGGCTGTAGGAAGGGGCTGCCCAGTGCAGAGCCGGAGAGCCGAGGCGCGAGGGGTGAAGCACCCCAGCGCGGCGGGGCTGGGCCCCGCGCTCCTCCTGGCCC